CGCAGGAGCGCGTTCCAGGGCACGGGCCGCGCGGCGCGCACGTGGCGCCGGCAGAAGGCCAGGAAGGGGCGGCAGTCGAGCAGCAGTGTGCGCTCGGCCTCCCGCGGCTCCCGCAGCAGCGCGCCCAGGGCCCCGCAGTCCAGCTCGTGCGCCGCCTCCAGCCCCATAGCGGCCGGCTTGGGGCAGCGTCGTCTTCCTCCTCTTCCCTCTCTGCTGCCTCTGCCTCTCCCTTCCCCTCTCCCCTCGCGTTCCGCGCTCTCGTGACGGCCGCGCTGCCCGAGCCGTCTGCTCTGGGCGCCCTCTGCGGCGTCGGGGCTTAAGTACCCGTGGGCCGGCCTCCCGGGTCACCATACAAGGGCAGAGCAGGAAGTCGCCGGCACCGCCCCCGCGGCGTCACATGGGGCGCAGGCTGGGCGGGTCCGGGGACTGGGGCCGGCTGGGGGAGGGGGTGCCCGGGGGGAGATAGCTGGGGACCAGCTCTTGAGGGAAGGTGTTTACCAGGGTCTTTGGGGCTCAAACGTCCCCCTCCCATCTTTGCGCCCCAGCCTGGAAGAGCGCTCCCACCCTTGACCTGCTTCGTGCTGCTCAGGCCTTGGGAACTGCGCTTCTCAGACGCACATCCCCATCCCCAGAAACTTGGGGCCAGTGGTGCCCCTCGCCCTGCTTCCTCTCCCTTTTCTCTTCCCCTCCCTGGATTTTCCCCCCTAGGAATTCGTTATGACAAAAATTGACACACGCCTGCTGCTAGGGGTGATCTCTACACTGGAGGATGGGGAGCTGTGCTGGGGTGTCCCTTTTCTCTTCCACTTAGAGACCTTGGGCAGGAGGGGCTTTCTTTCCCCTCCCCCTCCCCCATTATGTGGCTGAGACCAGCGCTCCGGGTTTTGCGGCAGTTTCGTGGCCAAGCGAGGCTAGAACATCCTCCTCTGACCCCAAGCCCCTGGGCATTGGCATGAGGAGGACCCCCGGGCCTTGGGGTAGGGGGAGGCAGGACGCCTATGACAAGTTTCCAGTTATGAGTGGGGCCCAGGGAAACCCCAAGGGCCCAGGGTCAAGCACTTCCCCAAGACACAGGCCCGCTCGAAGGGGAACTCTGCTGACGCTGCCGGGCTCTCCCCTGGGCCTGGTGGGAATTTCAGGAGCCTCACCAGGGGGAAGAGGGAGAGAAGGACTACCAGGATCTGCCTCCTCCGTGCGCCACTCCCCCTCTCAGCCCTCCCTGGGCCCGCAGCAGATTCCCTGGACAGAGGGACCTGGGATGGCACTTGAGCAAGGCGGCTAGCAGTACCAGTGGGGAGCTCATCCACATCCCTTCTGCCTGCCCCCACCCCAGCCGCCAGCCCTGGGGCCGGATGTGGTGAGCCCCAGGTGTGTGTGTGGGGTGGGGGCGGATCTGGGCCCCTGGGCTGGGGCAAAGAAATGTTGGCAGCTGAACTCTGACAGCAGAAAAATTGAAGTGGGTGGGGACAGTGTCCTGGAGCGGGAGCTGCTCCCACCCCCACCCCTGGCTGCATGGGATTTCAGAACCCCACCCCCTAGGCCCCCATTCCCCTGAGTCACTACTCTACACCCTTTGTAAGACCCCTCCGACTCCCCTGCACACCCCTGTGTCCAGACTCTCTTGGAGGACTACAGTAGGACCCATGTGGACCCCCAAGCCCTCCACTTGGCTTGTAGACGCTGAACTCTTCACAATAGTTTGTTGATGTGTCCGTGTGTATGTTGGAGCATGATTTATATGCAGTTCCACGATCTTTGAGATGGAGCTTGTAGCTTGAGTGTGCTGCGAGGGAGAGGGGTCGCAGGGGAGAGAAGCCCCAGGGACTCCAAAGATTCCTGGGGCCACGTCACCCTCTCATGCCTCAGTGTCCCCATCTGTAAGATGGGAGCTCATAATCGACCAGCTGCTTGCCCACATTGGTTCCAAGGCAATGAGGCTATGCAGTGCCCTGTCCCTCAGGCCCTACCAGGCCAGTCTGGAGGCTGAGGCGGCAAAGCCCACAACAGAGCCAAGGAGTCTGGGCCACAGATCCCAGAGGCTGATATGGGCCCTTATCCTTGGCATCAGCCCCGCAAATGACTTAATGGCTGATTCCAGGGGCAAATTACAGAGCACACAAAAGGATAGTCAGGTCCAGTCTTGCTGACCCGTGGGGCTGGTATCACCTGCCGAACTGAGAGCCATGGCCTTCCAGCTCATTGGGGAGGAGAGAGGCCTGGCCAGCTGGGCTCCTGGCTCAGGAGAGAAAGTCACTCAGCAGCAGGGGCTCCAGACCCCAGAGTGCCACGCTGGGCTGCGCCTATTCCCCTCTTTGGGGAGAACGGCGGGCACCTTGCTGGGAGGGTCCACGTGGGAGTGGAGTGCATTGCCAAAGTTTTGCTCTAGTGGCACAATCCCTGGGGCCCTGCCCAGCGCTCTGGCCAGGACTGTGATTTCTGCCTAAGGTGGCTGCATGTATGTCACCCCTTCCATGCCACTTGCTTTGGGACTGTCCCCTTTTCAGCTCTGAAACACAGGCTCAAGGAGGCCTGATTTAGCGGTAAAGGGGCGCCCCTCTGCCTCCCTCCCCTATTCCCCTACCCCTGATAACTGGGTGAAAGCCCAAGGCTGGGGTAAGAAGGGAGGGAGAAGAGAATGTCCACCCCGTCCCCCTCCCACTTCTGCTCTGACTAAAGATCCCCCCCCCCACCCCGCCATGAGTCATGGCTGGGATGTCTCCTCCCCCTTGCCACCTCCTCAAAGACCATCCCTCTCCCGGCAGAGACAACGCAGGCCTCTGGGTTCATGGTGGGAGGACGGTGTGAGGAGGGGGCTCAGTTAGACGGAATGCCCCCACAGCCTGCTGGTCCGGGAGGGAGGACCCCACTCCCATCACTAGGTGGTAAGGTGGGTGCGGGAGTGTGCCACATCCCGAGGTCTTCGGTTTTCTGTTTTCCTGGCCTGGCTGTTATAGAGCAGACACTATAGAGTAGGTTTGGGGCTCACATTTTTTTTTAATTAAAATACCCAACTGGAACAAATGATGATTCTGTGTTATTCTTGTTTGTAACCATCTGTTTTGACGGCTGTGTCACTCGCCCTCCGCCTTTGGGATTCCCGGTCTTTCCCTGCCCCACCAGCATGTCCACCCAGCCCCCATGCACAGTGGTTTCCCTTCCACAATCTCGAATCTCCAAACTCTGTGATGATGCTGGCTTTCGTTGTGTTTTCCTTCCTCCTTCCAAACCCACACCCCAAGCAGATGCCCTGGGGGGAGGAGGAAGAAATGAATGGTGTGGCTATGATCCTTAGGCCAGGCAGGTATGAAGGTGAGAGTGACGAGTGACAGCCACCCCCAGCCCCGGCTGGGGAGTGAGTCAGGGTGACGTCAGGTTTCCTGTGCCGGCCTCTACCGACAAGGCGCGGTAGCCACCCCCACAGGCTCCTGCCAGACAAGGATGGTGACTCCATGCCCCCAGAAGAGGACCCTGTCCAGCACAGTGGGGGGGCGGGGGGATTCACCTTGGGCATCCAGCCCTCATCGAGGCTGGCTCAGAAGTGGGCCCACACGTGGCTGAGGGGGTGGTGTCTGTCCCCACATGCGTGCGTCACGTCACTCAGGCAGCCCCGCTGGGGAAGCTCTCCTGGGCATAGTGAATACATCAAGAAGGTGGTCTCTGTTTGGGGCTGGTATGGCTTTCACATGCCTCAAATATTTGCTTTTCCCCATTTTAACAAAGGCTCAGCAGTTTCCCCAAGCATCCGTATCCAGGTCTCGCAGTCTCTCTACGTTTATTCATTTACTCAGCCCCTCATTCAAAAACTATGTTTTGAGGACCTGTTGTGTGCCAGGTACTGTGCTGGGTGCGGGGGATACAGCAATAGCTCACACACCACTGCCCGGAGGCTGACCTCATTGTTCCACTAATATTTATTTTTGTGATAATGTTGTATTTATGGCAAGTGATACTAGTTATCCACCCGGAGAATGATACCATTTCCTTTTAAAATCAATTTTAGGTTTGTGAAAACTGAGTTGAGTGGTCTCCAAAGATGTTAAAAAGTGTGATGCAGGCAGGAGAGGCTCCCCTCGCCCCTCCAGCTGTGGCTGCATGCGGTTCCATGGGGTCTGGTTCTCCCTCCTGCCGTGGTCTCTCATCAAGAGAGGAGCGTGAGTGCGGAGGGGAGAGGAGGCCCTGGACCTGAGGAAGGGAATCTGGGGAAGCCAATCCCATTGCCCAGGCCAGAGCCGGCCTCTCTGGTCATGGTCACGGTCCCTTCCTGCTCTGTGGGTGTGTCCATCAAGGGGACCTGGGTTTGGCTGCACCCCTGGATGTGCCTGGGCTTGGAGCTGGAGGAGACCCCCCCCGCCCCGTCTCTTCCCTTGGCCCCCAACCCACGGCCGTCGCAGCAGTGAAATGGGTCCTATTCCCACCCTGTCGCCCAGAGGCGCCCCTGGCTTAGGCCCAGGTAGCGGAGGAGGGAAGAAGAGGTTGCTAAAAAAGAGCTCTGTCACAAGTGGTAACAGTTGAGCAAGAGGCAAGGAATTCTCAGAAATGTGACCGCACTGCGGTCACAGGGCGCGTGGCTCTGTCACAAGAGGACTCCCGGGGCTCCCCCGAAGCCAGAGCTGGGTACGGTGTGAGGGGCAGCAAGGGGACTTCGAGGCCCGGAGACTGCTCCTTCCCGCCTCGTCACCCCCGGCACCCTTACCACCATCAAAGACCAGGCTGGGTCCCTCGCCTGAGGACCAGTAACACCAGCAGCAGTGGGGCAATGGCAGCAATGGTGTGCATCAGTGAGCCGTGGGGGCTCTGGAGCCATATGGCCTTGGCTCAAATACGGCTGGCTGCTTCCTGGCTGTGTGATTTAACCTCTCTGTGCTGTCATTAAACAATAACGATTACTAGCACTGTACTAGGTGCCTCCTGGGCATTCCCGCATCTAAGCTTTTTCAGGGCTTGGAGGGCGGCCTCATTACCCTCAATTTGCAGAGAGGGAAACCTGGAGGGGCCAGACAGCTGAACCGAGGCCACACAGCCTGTAAATGGGGGAATTGATATTGGAACCTGGGTTTTAGCCACTAGCTTGCCCTGCCGCTGGGCAGGGTCTGCGTGGCCCACTTCTGTCCCGCCCTACCCCTTTCACCAGCACAGACCCCCTGCCAGTTCCCACCTTTCTTTAGAAAGACAAGTACAAGAGTTAACACTGATTGAGTCCTTGGCCCGTTCTAAGACCTTTACAGGAATCATCCCATTTAATCATC